CAGGGGCGGCCCCTCGGGCGGCGGCGGGCCCGCCCCGCGAGCAGGCGGCGCCGCGGGCAGCCCGGGACGGGCGCTGAGGGCCCCGCCGCTGCCAGGGCCCGGCCGCGTGGCGCTCGGCCCCGACTGGGCGGGGTCTGCTGTGGCTCCGCCCACTGAGCCGACCTGGCCACGCCCCCGCCCCGGCTCAGCCGCGTCCCGGGACCGGGAGCGATCCGAGACCGGGTCCGGGTCCGTCCCGCCGTGCCCCCGGTCTGAGCCCCGATCCGAGACCGGGTCCGGGTCCGTCCCGCCGTGCTCCCGGTCTGAGCCCCGATCCGAGACCGGTCCCAGTCTTTCCTGCCGTGTCCCCGGTGCCAGCCCCGATCCGGGACGCTCCCGTCTTGTCCCGGTCTGGCTCCCCCGTGCCGTGTAGCCGACCCCGGTCCCGGTCATTCCCGCCGTGCTCCCGGTCCCGCCCCCCGGAGCCAAGCAGGACACGGTGGCACGGGGGTCCGAGGCTGCTTTATGAGGGCGCCCGGGCCGGCGGGCGAGCGGGGCGGGGGGAGGGCAGTGCTTCCCGGTACCGGCAGGAAAACGGGAGCCCCGGGGCGCCGGGCCCGGGGCGGGGGTCGGGCGGGTCGGGGACAGCCCCGGCCCCGCTGCTGGTTCCAGTTCCACCGTGTCCGCCTCTCCCGGCGCTGCTCCAAGCGGGGGCTCCGGTCACAGGGCCAGCACGGGGGGGAACACGGCCCCGTCTGCGGGGACACGGCGGGGTCAGAGGGGACACGGCGGGGTCAGAGGGGACAGGGTGGGGTCAGAGGGGACACGGCGGGGTCAGAGGGGATAGGGTGGGGACACGGAGAAGGGACAGAGGGGACACGGCGGGGTCAGAGGGGACACGGCGGGGACACGGAGAAGGGTCAGAGGGGACACGGCAGGGACAGAAGCGACAGGGTGGGCACAAAGGTGACACTGCGGGGACAGAAGGGACACGGAGAAGGGACAGGGGGAGGGGGCAGTGGCCAGGGGGGAACACAGCCCCCTCTGCAGGGACACCGCGGGGGGAGAGGGGACGCAGGGAGGGGGTGGCAGTGCCATCTTACGCTTGGGGCTGCTCTGGCTGTCGGGCTCGGGCACCTTCCAGTCCAGCTTGCGGCCCTTCTCGTAGAGCCCCTTGAGCACCTTCCGGAACTCCTCGGGCTCCGAGCCCTGCGGGCTCAGCTCCAGGTACTTGCGGTACAGCTGCAGCGCCGTCCGCGCGTCCTCGATGCTGTCGTGGGTCTCCCCCTGGATCTTCAGGTCTGCGGGGACACCCCTCGCTCAGCTCGGGGGGGATCCGGGGGGGATCCGCCCCTTCCCGGATCCAAGGGTTCGGCCACTGACCCAGGAAGTACCAGGCGAGGAAGCGCAGGGAGATCATCCTCTTCCTCGGGATGTGGAACAGGTACACGGTGTCGATCACCTGGTCCTTGGGCACCTGGGGAGGGGACGGGGTCCTGCTGTCGGGGCAGGGGGGCTGCAGACCCGACCTGACCCCTCCCAGCCCCACCCCAGCCCCCCACCGTGGCCAGGGAGGGGGCTCAGGCTGTCACCATCAGGTTGATGACACGGAAGTCCTTCTGCAGCCCGTGGCCCACGAACTTGACGCCCACGTCGATGAGGAAACGCAGCTTCAGGTAGGTGGATTTGAGGGTGGTCAGGTGCTTGGAGGAGATCTTGGCATCCAGGTCTCCTGGCTTGATCCCGGAGTACTGGGTCAGGTAATCCACCACCTGCAGACACCAGGGCACCTGGAGGGGGCTGGCAGGACCCAGGGGCTCCTCCTCCCCCCCAGTTCCCCTGTCAGCACCCTGAGGAGGGGGCTGGTGTGCCCCAGGTGACCCTGGAGCACAGAGGTGTCCAGGTGAGGACATGGGAGTCCAGGTAGGTCACCACAGAGGACACACGAGTCCATGGGGAGCACCTGGGTGTCTGAGTGAGGTCACCATGGAGAACACGGGAGTCCAGGTAAGGTCACCAAAGGGGACAAAGGAGTCCCTGGAGAGCACCCAGGTGTCCATGGGGAGCCCCCAGGTGCCCAGGTGAGTTCACCGTGGAGAACACAGGTGCCCAGGTGAGGTCACTGTCACTGGTAGAGGAGGTCCATGTCCTTCCTGGGGACCTGGGGAGCTGCGTGAGGCCAGGTGGACACCCCATACCTGCTCCTGGGTGGAGATGTAGTCATCGATGAAGGGGACGCCCTCGTTGGGGCCCTGCCCACGCACACAGGTGATCCGGGCCACCGACATCTGGCTGGGCTTGATGGTGGACTTGGTGCCATCACTGCGCAGCTCGGCCTCCTCCTGCCACCAGGGACGGCAGACGTGGTGACCAACAGCCCCAGAGGGGCCGTCCCTGTCCCCCTGTCCCCCCTGTCCCCACCCCAGGGCCCCCCCACCTCGTTCAGCGTGACGAACTCGGCGTCCAGCCCCACCAGGTCTCCTGCCTGGGGCATCTCGTTCAGCATGAGGGGGATGAAGGTGGCGTGGCACTTGCGCTGCTTGCGGGCCAGCGAGGCTTCAGCCAGCAGGACGCTGGCCTCGATGGGGTTCTTGACTGTGCAGGGAAAGGGGAAGGAGCTCAGCGGAGCCGCGGCGGCGCCGGCCCCGCCGCCACTTCCACGCCGGGCACTCACTGACGAGGTTGTACTTGGCGTTGAGGTTCCTCCGGGCGTAGTAGAGGATGGCTGGAACCTTCCAGCTCATGTCAAACTGCACAGCCTCGCACTGCAGGGGAGGGGGGACGGTCAGGGGCGGCCTGGGTGGCTCCACGGGGTGGCCACGGTGTCACCTCGGTGCTCACCTTGTCCACGGGCTCGATGAGGAAGTCGTTGAAGAGGTACCACTGCTGGTGTGTGACTCCCTGGGGGGAAAGGCACAGCCTTAGGGGCCCCCCCAGGCCGGAGCAGTGACTCCTCTGCCCAGTTACCAGGGAAAGGAGGGTGTGACGATGCCATGTGGGAACCCCCGCCCTTCCTGGGACACCGTGGGGAAATCCCTGCTGCCCTGGGTGGTGACAAAGGACACAAAAGGATTGGGCTGGACTGGCTCCGGGCTCTGCCCAGCTCCCGAGCAAAACTCCAGGGAGATGCAAGAGATAAGAGACCGGGATGGGGCCTTGACACACTCTGGGAACTCCTGGCTTGGGCATCTCCAGCAGAAACCAGGACTGCCCAGACCAGCCCTTTCCTCGGGAAGGGAGATGACGTCCTTGCCCTTACCTGGAAGTACAAGGACAAGCTGGCACCGTGCCCGTGGCCAGGAGGAACCAGCCTGAGTGGGTGTGGGAAGAGGGTTTCTCCAGCCCTTCCCTCCCCGTGAGGGGCCCCAGCAGCTCTTGGCACCTTCAGCCAAACACTCAAGGCTTGGCTCGAGAGACCCGGGAATGACGGATCCCCCTCGGTGAGGCTCCCGGAGCCCGTGGGGGTCCTGCAGGCTCTCACCTCCTTCCGCTGGTGGTAGGTCTCTCCCACCTTGATGTGCCCCACCAGGCTGCCCCCGGTGCGCGAATCCAGGATGTGAACCACGGTGGCCATCAGGTCGTAGATGTACACGGACTCGGGGTCGTCCATCGGGCTCAGCTGCGGGAGGAACCGCGAGCGTCCGAGCCCCCAGACCACCGGCCTGGACATTTCCCTGCTCCCCTGAGTTAACTCCTCATCATCTCTCTCAGCAGAAAGTGGTTCTGAGGCAGCTCTGTTCCCACAGCCCCACGTGCCCCTGTCGCTTTACCTCATCGCTCTCGCTCCAGTTGCTCACGTCGAGCTCTTTGCTCTTGGTCAACCTCATCTTGATGGCGTGAGGGATCCAAATGTTCTTCAGTTCCTCCACAGAAGCATACGAATGCCCCGTGTCGGGGTTCCCCAGATCCTTCCTGCACAGACAATCATGGAAAGCTGAGCTGGAGGGAGATGTCACCCAGGCCAGGACTCCCCACCCAGTTGAATCCTAAAATTTCTGTGGGAAGCTGGAGCTGCCTGGAGCAGGACTCTGGAGGTGCTCAGCCAATGTGGTTTTGGGGCTTTTGTCGGTCAGAAAAGGGACACGAGGTTGGGGGCTCAAAAAGAGGTGGGTGACAAAGGGGATGTGGTGCAGCCTCAGACAGGCAGGGTGTCAAATCAACGTAATTTAGATGTGAAATAGCCCAGAGAATCACCCAGGAGGTGTCACTGCTCAGAGGCACCACCCCAGGAACAGAATCCCAGAATCCCTGAGGTTGGAAAAGCTTTCCAAGACCATCAAAAGTCCAACCTCTGGCCAATCCCCACCTTGTCACCCAGACCAGGGTGCCACATCCTGTTATTCCTTGGGCACCTCCAGGGATGGTGACTCCAGCGCCTCCCTGGGCAGGACCAAACTCTTTCCATGAAGAAATTCCTCCTGAATTTCTACCTACCACTCCCCGAGAGTGATCTCCTTTCCCTTGGTGATGTCGAAGCCTCCTCTCTTCATCATGGCTTTCTGGAAGGAATACTGGCAACGAAACACAGGCAAGCATCAGCACACGGTGACAGGCCAGCCCCGGGGACACGTGGGTGACACAGCCAGGCCAGGAGCAGGGAAAACACGGGGTGTGACAGTTGGTGATAGGGGAAAAAGCAAGGGAAACCCAAAGTCCCAAGGTCACCGCTTCGGTGCTCCCGGGGGACTGGGGGGGAAGGACAAAGTGACTCCTGCAGTCCCTTCAGCTCTGCCACGCCAGGAGATCTCGTCTTTTCCAACTGCAAAGGTGCAGACCGTGCCACAGGCATGACCTGATTGCACCGGGGTCCTCTG